CCACCCGGGGGCACTCCGACGATCAAGTCAGTATATCTCTCAAAGATAAATAAAGTACTAAACTCACAAGCTTGAGTATCAAAAGCATACCTTAGACCCATAGGGGTGCCTCTCTTTTATAGTCAATACAATCCTAGTCCCAATAGGAGCCTGGCCCTAATGGACTTAGGATTACTGCTAATCTGGGACTCCCAATGGGATTAGGATAAACTCTCTAAGAGTCTTATCTTTACCCAAACTGAAGTCTTCTCCCAATGTAAAACTCTTGTCCATATCCAAGTTGAGTTCCCTCTTCATTCTAGGACTCTTGTCCCTTATCCGCTTATCTCGGATTCCGATATCTTCGGAGATAACCTCGGTCTCGCTAAGATAACCTCGGCACAACTACCACAACACGTGGCACCTCGACCGACACGTCGGCGTCACCATGCCACGTGTCGATACTTAGAAAATATATCCCCACAATATATATATATATATATATATTTTGAAGTATGTCATATATCATATCGAAATTTCCAATTACTTAAGCCCGGCCCGAATTGCAATTCGGGCATCAAAATTTTGCCCAAGCCCGTCCAGATTGCAAGATATAGTTGCCCAAGCCCTAAAAAAACTCGGGCTGGGCTCGGGTTGCTCGGGTTGAGCCCGCCCGAGTTGCACCCCTAGACGGACTTAACTACATCTTCTCTTTTTTGGATTTTACCCTCCATTGCATAGTCAAGGTTCTGTTTTTTCGTCTCTTTTTCTCTGGTACGTAATATTATAAACTTAAAAATTTTATTTAGAAAATTATATAAAAAATTAATATATAATCTAAATTCATTGTACACATGAACTTTAATATACACATTTAATTTTCACTGTACAATTTAATTCCTAACACAAATCTAAGAGTCTATATTCTGTATTCATTTTCATTGAATATTTTCCCAATAAGAACACCAACCTAAGTATCTAACTCTCATTTCAAACAAAAATCTAGTAGAAGAAAATTGAAAATTACAATCTCCTAGACCATCGAATATGAACAGTTCTGGCACACGTGTTGCCTTCACAGATGTCACACATACATGTGAATATATATTATTATACAATATGAAATTTTAGACTACTTAATGATTATGTTCAGTGGCGGAGTCACGATTTTGGCTCAGAAGGGCACATTTGAATTAAAATCTTAACAAAAATCATAATTTAACTTAATTTTTATTTGATGATAGGACTAAAAATTAGTGCGACGCAAAAGTTATATTTAAATATAAGGTCAAGTTAACTAATCATTATCTTTATTGTTATTAATTTATTTTATATATGACGATCATTACGGTTTAAAAAATAATTACATATACTCTCATAAAATACGAAAACAAAATTATATTAAGATGCACACACTAGATATAGTGAGGATAGATAAAGAAATGAGAAAAAGATGAATAAATAATATACATAAGCTATTATATATTACTTGTTTTTTTCACCGTTTTGAATAATTGAATTACATGACAATATATTATTAGTTGTCATTAATTGTGTAATAATTATGTGTTGTATAAGAGGTGATATAAAATAGTCACAAAATATCAGTGATAAATTAAACATTTTTTTAAAGTGATATTACTTGGATTAAATTAAATTTTATAATTTAAATTTTTTAATAAAACATTTACTTTAAATTTCACTTTAAATGATTTAAAGTAAATTTTATAATTTAAATTTTTTTAATAAAACATTTATAATATAGCATAATTAAACATTTAAAGTGATAAATTAAACATTTTTTTTAATAAAAAAAAGTAAAGAAATTTGTGATATAAAAATTTCAAGATATTACTTGAATTAAATTAAAATATATATTTTTATTAGAGATAAAAAAATAATTTTTCAAAAGTTGAGGGGGCACGTGACCCCTCTGGGCCTCACGTGCCTCCGCCCCTGATTATGTTAATAAAATCATGAAAAATGTGCATAGAAGAAAAGGCATATCCAGGTTGGTAAGGTTGTCTATTTTAGAATTTCGACAAGCACGAAAATCAAACTTTTAGCCACTATTGTTTTAATTGTCACGTACAATAAGTCATCTAGTGGGCCCAAGTGTATGTGTATCACCTTAATAATATAATATGGACAAATTAATACTCCTGTTATTGGACTGGGTGTTTTATACATCAAGCTTATTATAAATATAAAAAATGTTTGAGAGTTCTGAATATATTAGAGGAATGTAATATCACTCTATAAGTATATTGTTGTTAATTAATGATATATAAATTAAAAATATATATATAACAAATTAACACAAAATAATGTGATAGATTTGCATTCATTCACTTCAAATTATAAACTCATCAAAATGATTCGCAATTTTAAAAATATCATTATCACATCAAGTTATATATATATAAAACAATATATATGCTAAAAAATTATACAAAATAATGTTTTGAATTATGGACTTATTATCACTTTATAAATAAAAGTCAATATGAGTTTTATTAGAAGGCTATTATGTCATTGTAGTTGTGTGGGTGAAAATCTGACCACACTGTCCGTTTAGTGATCAGCTGGAGAGCACAAGCAGAATAGATGGCTAAAGTAACCTGAAACAGAAAGAAAAAGCTCCGGCGGTGGTTCTTCCACCCGGGGGCACTCCGACGATCAAGTCAGTATATCTCTCAAAGATAATCAAGTACTAAATTGAATATTCAAAGTATAAGTTACATACCTTAGACCCATGGGGGTGCCTCTCTTTTATAATATACTCAATCCAAGTCCCACTAGAAGTATGACTTCTATGGATTCTAGTTCACTGTTTACTCTGGACTCTTTTAAATGATATAGATAAACTCCTTGAGAGTTTTATCTTTATCTTGGTTCAATCCTCTTTGTGCCTTAGGACTCTTGCCCCATATCTCGGATTCCGATATCTTCGGAGATGACCTCGGCTTCTCCGAGATTACCTCGGCTTAACTACCAGGGCACGTGGCACCTCGGCTGACACGTCGGCGTCACCATACCACGTGTTGGTATACAGAAAATATATCCCCACAGTAGTGAATGATTCTTGTAAAACAATTATGCTGGTCTCAAAATTTGTCCAAGAAAATTGTTCAGAAAAATTAGTGTGTGGTTGAGATGATTTTACATGTAAGTCCCATCAAACAAGAGGTGAGTTTGGACCATAAAATCAATGTTTGGATAAACTCCTAGACACAAATTTGGATCCCTGTCTAGGATTTGCTAAAATTAAACCTCTCAAGTTCACGGTGCAATTGACCCATTATATAAATAATTTGGATGCACTTCGATAATTTAAATTGTTCATTTCATACAACTAATTGAAAAAATTATTTGTACAAAAAATTAGGTTAATCTAATATCAATTGTCATATTATTAGATCATTGTTATTTATATCACTACAAGAAAATACACCTTTGGCGACTAAATTTTTAGTCGCCAAAGGTCCGATTTTAGTCGCCAAATGTCAAAATTTCACTTTTCCCGACAAAAAAGTTTAGTCGCCCGTGTTGTCGCCAATAAACGGTCGCGAATGCCTTTGGCGACTAAAACACTGTTAGTCGCCAATATATATGTCTTCAGCGACTAAATATTTCGTCGCCAATAGTCAATTTCTGTATTGGAAATTATACCTTTGCCGACTAAACTTTTAGTCGCCAATAGTTCATTTTTATTTTATTATTAATACCTTTGGCGACCATTCACTTTAGTCGCTGAAAGTATTTTCAGAAAAAAAAAAAATTTCGCCTCCGTTGCTCCCAACAGGTTTCGAACTTGCGACGTCCCTTTGCACACGCCAAACCCTTTGCACAACACTCCCTCCACTATGCCAGTACATCATCACATGATCATATATGCAATATATATTATTTATATACTATATTAACCGCAATTAATACAAAATAATATTTATAAATATAATTTTTTTAATTCAATATAATTTTTGTCAAAAAATAAATTATTTAATAAAAAAAAATTAGGCGACTTTTGGCGACTAAAACCATTTTTTAGTCGCTAATTGTATTATTTTGGGCTACTAATTATTTATTTGTCGCTAAAAAAACAAGTTCTCAATTAAAAATCAGCACTTTTGGCGACTAAACAGAAATTTCGTCGCCAAAACCACTACTTTCGGCGACTAAAATGGATTTTCGTCGGCAAAACCTCCACTTTCAGCGACTAAATTGCTTTTAGTCGGCAAAACTGCTATAATCAGCGACTAAACCTGTTTTTAGTCGCCAAAACCCTACCTTTTCGCTACTAAATTATTTTAGTCGCTAAAAACCGTGACTTTTGGCTACTAAACAAACTTTAGTCGCTGAAAACCGTATATTAGGCGACAAAACTTCCTTTTAGTCGCTAAAAACACGCTGTTCGGCGACTAAACCCTTTTAGTCGCTAAAAACCTGCTTTTCGGCGACTAATTCCATTTTAGTCGCCATTTCATGCACTTTCAGCGACGAATTTTTTTTTTTTAGTCGCCGTTTGTGTTTTTTGTTGTAGTGTATGGTATACATATTTTTTAAAAATAGACTGTCTATTTATTAATATATATATATATGTGGGTGTGTGTGAGATTTAATCATATAATTACTTATGTATAATTAATCCAATTTTTTCATACATATTCTTTTTAATTTGTCATATAAAATAAATGATTCAAATTACTGAGATAAATACAAATTGATCCCACAATACATCAATTTTGTCTATAAAAAGTTGAGATTTTAACTTTAACAAATATCAACTCTTCTATCTTTTTGTTATAAAAATAGAATAATGTTTGGGACTCCCTTTTGGGGGTCACTTCCTCACCCCCCTTTGTCACGTGGCGGGTGGTGATTGGAGGAGCAGGAAAAAAAAGAAAAAGAAAAAGAAAATATAACCAATGAGAGAGAGAGGGGGTCAAAGGGGGTGGGGAAAAGGGAGATGAATCATTGTTGATAAAAATAACACATAGACATAGGCATAGTTGTCACCACCTTTTCAACTATAAATATCTTCTTTCTCATATTTACTTTCTTTACACACAAAAAGGTTAAAGAGAGAGAAAAAAAGAGAAACATGATTGTCTCCTTGAAATCTATATCAAGAAAAACAACAGCCCATGAAAACCACCATCAACAACAAGATTTCAAGACCGATGATGATGCTTGGACATCACTAACAGTTTGGAGAAAATCACTAGTTTTTAGCTGTAAAGGTTTTACAGTGATCGACTCTAATGGTAACTATGCCTTTAGGGTTGACAATTACACCGGACATCCGGTGGAAGTCATCCTAATGGACGGATCAGGGAAGCCCATCCTCACCATGTGTCGCAGCACGGTAATCATATCATAATCTCTCTTTAATTTCAATGTTAAATACTATTCATGGTTTTAAATAATATGAATCAATCAAAATCATATATACATGACCGTTATTAAAAACCCTGATGCTAAATAGTTGTCTTTGATTATCAACAGGGGCTTAGACTAGTAGATAACTGGCATGTCTATGAAGGTGAAGTTGGTGATGTCTCATCAAAGAAACCAATCTGCTGTGTGAGGAAACACATTAACATCTTACAATTTAATGTAAGTGTACTTGCACGCGTGTATCATGGGCCATCCGATAAGAGATATGCGTACATGATCGAAGGATCGTATGCGAATCGGTCGTGCAGGGTGTTAGATGAGTCGAGGAAGGTGGTAGCTGAGATCAAGAGGAAGGAAGGAATGAACGGTGGTGTATCTTTTGGGTTGGAGGTTTTTCTTTTGATTGTACGGCCAGGATTCAATCCCAGCTTTGCAATGGCTATTGTTTTGCTACTTGATCAAATGTTTTCTTAATTTTTAATTTATTTATTTTTAAATTTGATATTTACTATGTTTGTTGATGTATATATATATCTGTGACTGTTTTTGAGCTGTAAATTGAGGTGAAACAACTTTGTTAGCAGAAGTTTAGGAGAGGAGAACACAAGAAAGCGCAAATGCCAAAAGGTCTGTTTAAAAAAAAAAAAAATTGCAAACAAAGAATTTCAAAATGGAAAGATGGAGATGCGGGGTATCGATCCCCGTACCTCTCGCATGCTAAGCGAGCGCTCTACCATCTGAGCTACATCCCCATTTTAGTATTGGTGTTTAATAATAAATATTTTAACTTTTATCAAATCATCCATTTGTAGCATGTAGTTTTGGTGTTTGTTAAAGCTAAGCAAATGCTTGATTGAGTTATTTACTTTATTTTTCATTATTATTATTGTGAAATTTAATAATTAGTATAATGAAAAACTTAGGTAGCGTTTGGTAAACATTTCTAAATATGATTTGAGAATAAGAGTTGTATTTTGAGTTTGTGAGTTTTGGAATTATGATTTGAGTGTAAAAAATTTGTTTGGTGAAAGATTTTTGAATTGGGTGGGAAATTTTTGATGTAACATATGGTATTTGATACAAAAACTTACAACTCATAACCAAACACACAACTCAAAATTCTATTCAAATCTCATAAAAAAAAATTTAAAAATTCAGAAGATATTTTTTGTTGAATATATAAAAATTAACATGTGTTAATTGCAAAAAAAAAAAATACTATTTCGGTCAACCGGCCGAATGTCCGGTGGGACAACTGGTTAGCCCAAATTTTTCCACCTTGGACAGAGTTTTCAAAAGTGAGTGAAATTAATTTTTGAAACTCATAAACAAACATCATGTGCAAAATAAGCCCTGGAACTAACGTTTCAGAGTTGTACCAAACAGAGCCTTAAGTAGTGTTTGGTAGAATTTTAGAATTATGATTTGAGAATAAAGTTGTATTTTGAGTTTGTGAGTTTTGGAATTATGATTTAAGTATAGAAAATTTATTTAGTTATGAATTTTGAAAAGAATTTTAAATCGAGTTTGAAATTTTTGATGTGAAATATGATATTTGATTAAAAAACTTACAACTCATAACCAAACACACAACCCAAAATTCTATTCAAAGCTCACAAAAGATTTAAAAAATATTTCAAAAATATTTTTTATTTAAAATATAAAAATAACAGGTGCAAAAAAAAAAATACTGTTCCGGTCAAAAGTGGGAGCATGACCGGGTAGACATGTTTTCAAAAGTGGGAGTGGAGTCAATTTTTAAAATCACTAACCAAACACAGCACTCAAACTAATAGGTGAAATTATGTTTCCAAAACTCCACCAAACACAACCTTATATTTTAAACGAGCTAGCTTACCTCTAGTCCCGTAGTTGTGGGCTCATTTGAAGTACATTTTGATAATTTGGACTATGCAAATTATAAAATTTATCGTGCAGATCATTCATGCAAAAATTCAAGTCGATTGAATATCAACTGCTATTGATTGGATCACAAATCTGTGTAACAAAATAGACAACTAAGTATGATTTACAAACAGAAACCAATCATGTCGCTATGGAAGTTTAATCAACTTATCTGCACTCAAATAGTAATTTAATATGTCCAAGTAAAATTTTGAAATTTTAGTTCCTATTTTATTCTAATGTAAATTTATTAATAATGATAATATACATTAAACTCTAAAATAAAATATATATTTTTTTTCATGATACACTCTGCTCACTTATACGTATTTTTCATATTCAAGTCTCTTCATATTCCATCCTAAGTTCCAATTATTTTTTCTTTATCTCATTTCTCACTCCAAACTCCAATCCTCCCCACCAAAACTCACCATTGTCATCAACATTATTGTTACATATTGTGTTACTAATTACAAATAGAAGAAAGTTTAAACAAATCAAACAATGGATGAGAATAATAATCAACAGTATTATTTGAAGCAATCCATCAAATAGTAGGTAAGTATTCACATAAATATCAAACTATAATTCTTGATATCTGTGTTTTTTTTTTTATACGTAAAAACACATATTCTGTTTGTTTTACGTCAACATTGTTCGGCCTCTCAAAGTTGAACAAATTGCTCATGTTCGGCGTTGTAGTCTTGAACATAAGCGATTTGTTTGGCTTTGTAGGCCGAACAAAGGCAATATGTTTCACATAACAAGGCCGAACAACTTCAGTGAATATCAGAAATTGAAATCAACAAGTGTGGTTCTGAAAAGCCTACAACCACTATATCCCAAATAACGAAAAATGTAATTAACGGGGAAAAAAATGATAAATTTACCTACTTATGGGTATAAAATAATGTCATTCTTCTTTTTCTTCTTCTTCTTCTTCTTCTTCTTCTTCAATATTTGTCAATGATGAGAGTATGGACGTACCGTGGCTGAGAAGAAAGGGAGAGAGTCTTTTTTAAATTGATTTACTTTTTTATTTAGGTGTATCACAAATTATAATTTTATCTTGAAGGGTAATTTGTGAAAAATTATAGGGTGTATTAAGAGTAAATTATAACCCTAAATAATTTAATAGAGATTACTGAGAAATTATGTATACTGAATGATTTTTTTGGGTGCAAATAGAATCACTTGTAATCTCCTCTACCAGTAAACTACCAATAGGTCCCAATAGTTGGATTTAATTTCGATCAAGTCCTATTGAAAATAACTCTTAGTAAAATCGTCACTAAAAATAATTTTTTGCATATATCGCTGAAAATTGACAATTAATGACTTTTTTTTTTCTCACAAATGTTATAAATTATCTCTAAAACTTATAATTAGCGACATTTTTCTATGATGAATTTTTCAAATTGTCATTGAAAGTTAAAAACTAGTGACACTTTTTCATAACGATTTTTTGAACTGTCGCTAAAACTTCTAATTAGAGACATTTTTTGTGACAAAATTTTCAAATTGTCTCTGAAAATTAACAATTAGTGACCTTTTTTAATAGTGTTTGATAAAAAAATGCCATCAATTATCATAGGACTTATTGAACAATAAATTCACCTATTATGACCTATACGTAAGTCCCCTTTTTATAAATTGAACAATTCAGATCACCAAAATAAGCTCAGAAGTGCACAAACTACACCTAGGCCTTGTTTGTTTGGCGGATTAGGTTGGATAGGATTATGAAAACAGTTGGGTTGAGTAAGGAAATTATTAATGTAGTGGTATTATATTTGAGATATAAGATAAAGAGTGTTTGTTTGTACACAACTAGATTAGTAATATCATGACAATAATTTATGTTAAAATAATAATTATATAAGACTCTGATAATAATCATAAAATAAGATTCTAATAATACTAGAAATATAATTATATAAGTTTTAAAATTTGTTAGGGAGTTCAGAATCTGGTCGTGATTCCGGTCCACATCTAATTTATCTTTGCCACTCGTCCCATAAATGAGTGAAAAATGCCTTGAACTGTCACGACCCAACCCTAGGGGCTTAGGGTTGGAATCGCAACTTACTAACTTATTCTTATTCGTAGCAAATTAAGATGCGCAAGTGGAAATAAAAATAATTAAACAGAAATTTTACTTCATTTTACTATTTAAGAAAGAGGAAATACATTTCTAGGACTTTCATTATTTTATTATTCAGTGACCAGCCCCAAATACAAACAAAAGGGAGCAAAAATATAAAAAAAAAAGAAAGATAATAGTGATTCAACATCAGTCCATGTGCACGTTCTATTTTGTGGGGTTATGGGTTTCCTTTACATCTCGTCACCTGAAAGGGTAACAGCTATAAGCACACAGCAGAGTGAGAAATATTATGCCAAGAGTGTAGGGAATACAAAATAACCATGGATAATTAGTTAGGCTAAAAATATTTGCAAAATTTAATTGAAAATGACAATTTATTTAAAGTGACAGAATACAGAAATCATGTAAATAAATAATCATAACCACGGTATAAAACAGAACAGAATAAAGGACACAGAAGTGACAGTCAGAACAGAGGTCAATGGATCTATGACAAACAGAGGACCACAAAGTGGTCAAACAGAGGCCAGTGGTTATTTAAGTCCCCCAAGGCGTGGGACTCCCGTGGTGATACTTACAAAACATAATTGTTTATAAGGTTATAGTCAAATATATACTAAAATTTAAACAAACATATCCATAGATTTCCTTTTAAATAAATGGAGTTTAGAAAGTAACCCACGTAACCAGGGACGGAACCAGGAATTCAATTATGGAGGGGCCAAGACATGAATAAGTTTTTTATATGAATTAATATGAACTATTATTTTTTTTGAATTCAAAAAATAAATTAAAATTTGATATTAAATTAGTACGTAAAAAATAAAACAATCATATATTTAGTGATTTTTTTTTTATATATAGGTATATTTAGTGAATTTAATATATGAATAAAAGCAAAGTCATGTATTAAATAATTCTTTATACAAATCAACTCAATCATCTATTAAAGTAGAACTCGACGTTTTTTCATATCTCGAAAGTGTTTAATGATTGACTCTGTAATAAAATTTTCCGCAATTTCCTTTTTTCAGCAATTTCTTTTTAATGTACCCAAGCAAAAAGTCTTAAAAAAATATATTTAATATATGAATAAGCGAAGTGAATCTTTAATTATAGTTTACTCTTTATTTAATGTTCAGTTTTGTTTTTTTTGGAAAGAAGAGGCGTAGGAAAAGCAGTGGGCATCTAATGAATAGGTGAGGCCCATACTAGTTGACAATGACAAAAGAGGGGCATATTTCCTACACAATTCTATATTATTAATATTAGGTTAAAAAATAATATATAATATAATCTCTTCTTCTTTTTTTTTAATTTAAGCAGGGGGCCGTGGCACCTGTTGGTCCACGCATAGGTCCGTCTTGGCACGTATCTGAAATATTTATAAATATAATTTTTATTTATATAACTTAATAAATATAATTTGTATAAAATAAGTTATGATAACTCAAAACATTCGTAAAACATATAATGATAAAGTAAGGTATAATAGAACTCACTTTAAATGTAATCCTTAGCCTTACTTTACTATCAGAACTTCCTTTCCTTACTCTCAACTTATGTATTTCTCTCGATTTCCCACTCTTCCCTTCTTTTTTTCTTTCGTTTTTTTTTTTGTTCTCTGAATCACAACA